GCTCCTATTCAGCAACATGTAATGGAATGGAACATTTGTGTTCTCATTATTTTCATTATGATTGTAATAATCTTCATGGTGAATAAAATAAATAAATAAATAAATAAAAAATAAAACTTCTGTTGTGACTTAGGGTTGTACAAGAATAAAGTGTATTGTATTGTATCCAGTGCGGAGAAAAGTTAAGAAGCGTAAAAGGGACTACCCTGAAATGAAAGATCACAGCAGTAAAAAGTGGACAAAATCGAAAAGTCTGGAGGTGGTTTGACAACATGGATTTTTTACGGACATCAGCTAACACGTCAATACCCGCAACACGAGAGAGAAGCCTCAACACTCCTCTATCTTCAATCAAATGCAAACTTATATGGTCTTATTTCTGAAGTGTGTCTGTGGTTCTAAAGTCTTATTCTGAACGTGTGTCTGTGGTTCTAAAGTCTTATTCTGAACGTGTGTCTGTGGTTCTAAAGTCTAAGTCTAAAACATAGATGACACATACCGTACTAAATTAAGTTAGAGTGGAACATGGATTCATGGTTCAATGAAAGTTGTGTTTTCTGCTGAATACTGGGTTGAAACTCGTAAACTTGGTTTTAGTTGGAGCTTGATAGAACTAATTTCATGGAACTGACGCTGGTGTCTTCTCTGTTTGTTTGGACCGTCGCCTTCTCTGAATAAGTCAAAGATCATAGGGACTGCTGTTTACTATGGAAGATTTTATGTGTCGTCAGATTTAGAATTTGTTTTAAGCTTGAATTTTTACGTTTGAAATTTTCAACCCTGAAAAAGCAAGTTTGAATATTTTTATCTTTACTTTTCAGTCACTAAAAATTCAGTTTACAAATTTAAATGTGATTAAAATTTCAAAAATGACTTTCACCCTCAAAATATTCAATTTTTTTTTTTTCAATAAATAATTCAGTAAAAAAAACAGACGGATTATTTGTTCCATCAGAAATTGAATTTTAAATGGACCTGAATTACATCTATTTCAATGTTTTTAACATCTGGAATATTTTTTTCTGTGGAATTTCTAGTCACTGATTATCAATTTCATAATGTCAAATTCAACAGTCAAAATTCAACGAGAAAAAATTCAATGGTGAAAATGTACATGACACATCCGGTGTTCTGACGAGTTTTATGTGCTCTGTCAGTTGGTCTGCGCATGAGTCATTTTACTGAGGTAAAGACTGTCGCTAGCTTTCAGCAGGTCCATCGGTTGATAACATGAATCTAACAGGTTGATATGGGATTTCTAATGAATGGATTGTAATGAAACCAAGGCGAATAACAAGATGATACTACATTAATTTTTTGATGAGTTAGTCTTTTTGGGTGAATGTGCTTCCGTTTCAAATCATTATAGCTGTATATTCCTGTTTATTTATTTAGGCTGTGTGTGTTTGTTTGTGTTCATGAAAAACCATCACATTTGAACATTTATAGCAACAAAGGACAGTGTTATTGTTGGTAACGTTACACAGTATTTGGGGTCTAGTTTCCCGTGTAGCAGTTTCCACAGGGCTCACTCGTGTTACTTGAAAAAGAGTTCCATGTAAAGGAATTAACAGAAAACATGTATTTCACAGCTTGAACTCTTGTACACTAAATGATATTTGCTGAGTTGTCTCTCTGAAATAAAAAGTAACAACGGTAAGAACACCGTATGGCTGCTTATTTCTTGAGCTGTGAAAAAGTTACGTGCTCCTTTCGGCTCCACTCGCTCCGTAAACAAAGCGAAATTCTCTCTCTGTCTCTCTCTGTCTCTGTGTGACGGTAACATAAATATTCTAAGTTAACAAAATCTCCATTAGTTCTAAAGGGTCTAATGTTAGATAACGAGAGATTCCAACGTCAGTGAAGAGAAAAACAGAGTTCATTATGCGCAGACCAACTGACAGAGCACACTACTCGTCAGAACATCGGATGTGTCATGTGCATTTTTCACCATTGAATTTTTTCTCGTTGAATTTTGACTGTTGAATTTAACATTATGAAATTGATAATCAGTGACTGAAATTCACAGAAAAAAAATATTCAAGATGTTAAAAACATTGAAATAGATGAATTCAGGTCCATTTAAAAGTCAATTTCTGATGGAACAAATAAATCGTCTGATTTTTTTTTCATTGAAATTTTTTTTTTGAATATTTTTGAGGGTGAATATGTCATTTTGAAAATTTTAATCACATTGAAATTTGTAAACTGAATTTTTAGTGACTGAAATGTGAAGATAAAAATATTCAAACTTGCTTTTTTCAGGGTTAAAAATTTCAAAACTGAAGAATTCAAGCTAAAAAAAATTCAAATCTGACGACACATAAAATCTTCCATAGTTTACACTCTTCTTTCGGTAACTTTCATTGCTGCATCCGGGGGCATGCAAAATACCCCCAAAATATTGTGATACTGAACCAAATCCATTTTTTTCTTGCAGCGTCTGCAGTGAGATACGGTGGATGGATGGATGGATGGATGGGAGTGTTTCTGCTACTACTGGAAATTCAGATTCAGTCCAGTATAGCAGAAACACTCCATCCATCCAGATTCAGATTCAGTTTATTTGCCATTTGCAGTAAAAAAAAACACATTGGAATACATTAGCAAAAGTCTCCAGTGTGCACAGACAAATACAGACATAAAACAACATTAAAGTGGTTCTCACCCCCGCTCCTCGGAGCTTACGTCACTCACATTTCCTGTTCAAATCTTCCTCTAAATGGGTGTAGCCTGGAGGACTAAAGGGGGCGTGAACGAGACTGGGCCGTTTACATTGCTCTGGCGGGGGGCTGCTGACGTCAGGTCCAACTTCTGTGCCATGTGTTGGCGCCAGATTCAAAATTCAAATGTAGTAAATACAGGTCGCCAGCAGATGGCGCCTCACAGACGGTTTTAGGCAGAAAGTCTAACTTTCAAACTAATTTGCACCAAAGTGACAAAATTATGACCAGAATATGTAGACAACACTATTGGACACTCATTTTATACCGTTTATCAGCAAAAAAAAGTGGATTTGAGGGTGAGTTGTCCTTTAAAAGACAAAAATAAAACAAATAAAACAGTAAACAAATGTCACTGTGAAATCGATCGACTAAAACAGTTTCAAAACAAGTGCAAATCATTAAAGTGCTCTGTTCACACTGATAACAGCTTGTTGATAAAAACTGTTAGCGTAACGAGATGTCCTGCATCTCGTTACGCTACGATCCATCCATCCATTTTCTTCCCCTTAATCCATTTCTGGGTCGGGGACTGCACCCAATTCATATAGCAACAGCCCCTCACTGATCCTCCTTGACATTTCAGCAGGGGCTTCAAGTAGTGGGGTTAAGTCTTGCCCAAGGACACAACGACAGCAGACATCAGTAGGAGTTGTGAAGTAGGTCTTTTGGTGGGCTCGAACCCACAACCTTCAGGCTCAAAGGCTCTACCAGCTGAGCAACTGTTGCCCCTCTTTCACACCTATCCCTCCTACACATCCAACCATACAAACAAAATAAATAAATAGATAATTCTAAAAATAGCTAACAACAGTATTAAAATGCAACAGCACTTTAGGTCACAGCAGATGGTGAAGCCGCTGGGTGAAGCAGGACAGGTCACAGCAGCAGAGGTGGTGGAGCCGCTTGGTTCAAACTAGGGCTGGGCGATTTTGCCTAAAAAAAAAATCTCAGATTTTTAAAAGAAAAATTCAAGTTTCGATTCGATTTTCGATTTTTTTTTTCCAATGCACTTAAAAATGACTGGAGACATCAGATATATTGTCAAAAGTGCAAATTTATTGCTGTGATTGTCCTCAAGAGTTAAAATGCAAGTAAATGAGGCTCTGTTATTCAACAATTTCAAGCTTTAACCCAGGTTTAAGCAAAAGTGCAACATCAACTTCACAGTAGCTTACATTTTCTGATTAAGAAATCAGATAACTACATATTTTGTAACATATAACATTACAATAAAAAAATAAAATAAACTCTTCTCTTAGCCTCTCAGCATAATGTGAATATAAAAAAAATTAAACATGCCTGTGGCAGACATATAGCTACTAACTAACTACTTATCAAAGGATAAACAAATGTAAACTTTTATCTTTAACAACAAAACATTAGATCTCTGAAATATTGTGCATGCTCATTCTAAGCATTTTTTGCAAGAAAGATGAGCCTGTCCACAACCTCGGGTTTGAGGCAGGCCCGGTTGCAGGTAACTATTCCCCCACCCACACTGAATAGCCTCTCGGAGGGAGCACTAGTAGCTGGAATAGAAAGATATTTTTTAGCCAGTAAGCTTAGTCTTGGAAAATTGGCCTGGTGCAGCTTCCACCATTCAAGAGGATCTGTGTCTGGCTCTATGTCTGGAATAAGCAAATATGTTGCAAGCTCAGTCTCAATTTTTGTTTTCTCTGATTGTGGGTGTGGGGTGGATGGTGCACAGTTTTTAAAGAAGGCACCCAGAGTCATTTTCTTTTTTGGTGGGGTGTTCTCTTGAACATCAGAGGGCCCAGCTTCCTCTGTGGTAGAGTTGCAGAGAGCAGAGATCTCAGACACTGCTCTTTTTTTGACAGCTTCCAATTTGCTTGCATCAATATAGGTTGTACGGAACCTCGGGTCTAAAAGTGTGGCCATGTCCAAAAGTTCCTCTTTCTCCAAATCACAGTATTTACGTTCGAGGTAACGCATGATGTTGGCTTTGATTGTTTTTGTTAGCTCCAAATCTTCCTCCTCTGGCAGAAGGAGAGTTGTTTTAAACAAATGCAGCACTGGTTTGATGCATGACACACTGACATATGATTCCCCTGACAGTGCATCAGTGAAGTTCTGGAGAGGTTTCACTGCTTTGTTGGTGGCTTCTAATACTTCCAAATCTTGCCACGTGGGAACAAGATGACGTGTTTTCTTGTCCGCACCAAGGACACGAGTTATTGCCTTCTCTTGCTCAAGAAAGCGCTCAATCATCTTTTGACGAGACCCCCAACGTGTTGGGGATTCTGAGATCAAAAGATGCTGGGGAAGTCCAAGCTCAGCCTGCACCTCTGTCATGTCTCGCCTTTTTTTCCAGCTGTAAGAGAAGGCTGATACAGCTTTTTTGCAGACCCCTATGGCCCGATCAATCCTTGGGTCCTTGGCGCCATTCTCTGTGATAAATGTGAAAAGATATTTAGTATATTTTTTGTCTCTCCAAGCTTAGGCTATAAGTAGTGTTTGATTATGTGAGTTTTGACAAATTGTTCTGTACTTTCATCACAATTGTAATAGCTGTGACAGTTTAATACATGATGTTGTATAATAAATGCAGCTTAAGGAAAAGTCAGGTTTATTAATTAATTACCTTATGTAACCCAGTCTAATTAAAAGCGCCCCACTTGTATGTGTAAACCAGTTGAAATATGTACCATATTCTGACTATTAAATTAATGAGCAATACGCTACAATGTGTAAGTATGTGTCTATTTATTCTTACACCAACTCTTACCTATAGCGTTGTGGAGTTTGTGTCCAAAACACTGCAGGCTGGGCCAGTTGTTATCCTTAAGAGCTTTTATGATGTTGGTGCCACTATCAGTTGTCATGCAAACGAGTCGTTCCTCCGAAAGTCCCCAGGAGCTGAGAGCGTCTTTTAAACCATGGGCAATTATGTCACCAGTGTGGTCCTCGGGGAAATACGCTGTCTGGAGGCAGATGCTGCGCAGTGTCCAGCTGGTGTTGATATAGTGGACCGTCAGACTCATATATGGCTGCATCGTCCGGCTGGACCACAGGTCCGTGGTGGCTGAGTAAAACGTCATCTCCCCCAGCTCACCGCGGATCTTTTCACGAGTTGTATTGTACAGGTGAGGCAGCGCTACATCGGCGAAATACTTGCGACTGGGGACAACGTACCTCGCATCTAATACTTTTAACAGGCGATTAAAGCCTCGCTTTTTGACAGAATAAATTGGCAGCATGTCTGCGGCAATATAAAACGTGATAGCCTCTGTAATCGCTTTCCATCGCGCTCCATTCTTATCATAAGGCACACAGTTTGTAAAGCTCTCTAGAAGTGTAGTTTGCTTTTTAGCTGGTGTGCTAGAACTGCCGTCTTCGCTACGGCGCTGGCTGCACTTCTCCCATTCTACGGGATGCTTATTCCTCAGGTGCTGGAATAGATTTGTTGTACTGCTGCTCCCTGTAGCAATAGTCTTTGAACATGTTTTGCAGCGAGGCTTCGTCTGTCTTTCGTCTGCTGCATCAAACCCAAACCAGTCCCAAATTATGGAATTAACTGTGCCTTTCTTTGGAAGTAGTTCTCTGCTACACGCTGCCATTCTTGTTTTGACTGTGTTTACGCGGCGGAGGGGGCTGGCTCATAACGCTCTACGGTAACCCACAAGGACAAAACGCAAAAAACTCAGAAAAATAATGTGGTGAAAAAAAAACTCGAGTTTGCAAAATAAAAATCCTTTTAAGCTACAAAATCGATAAATCGATAAAATCGATTTTTTGCCCAGCCCTAGTTCGAACCATTTTCTTTGCTCTAGTCCTAAGTGCGATGCTGAATGCTTTGTTAGCATTTTTCAAAAAGTTAGCATTCCTCCAGTGGATTTTCACCTGATCTGCTGGTTTCGGACCATGAATCCTCTCCGCTCTGGTCTGGACCAGTGCAAACTATGAACACTGTACTGCAGCAACATCTCAGTAGAAAAGTAATAATTGTAAAGCACAAAACAACTGTTTCAGAGCTACTAAGGTCTTGCTGCCGTTTCCAGTGCATTCCTTACAATACTTTGTAATTTAATCTTTGTTATCAAAATCAGAGATCAAGCGTTTCCAGTAGGTCTTCACCAGTTTTCACACACTGTCGCTGACAGTTTAACCAACGGGATGTTTTGGGGATCTTGCTGGGAAACTGACTTTCTCCAGGACCTTGAAATGCATGGATCATTGTTATGCAGGAAGATAAACACATAGCAAAGTTTCATCTTCAAAAAAGAAAGAATGAAAGAAGGTTTGTACCATAAATCTCACATGGGCCCATTCATCTTTTCCTCAATATGGATCAGTCATACCGTCCATCAGTCATGAGCCAAACCATAATTTTCCATCCCCATGCTTCACAGTGGGTATGGTCTTCTTGGGTTAGAGTGACTGTGTTCCTGTATGTGTGGTGTCCAGGTGGAGTCCACGCTGCCGGAAAGAGGGGTGGATGGACTGAAAGAAGACTGCAGGATCATTGGGCTGCTCTACACCGCCAAGATGAACAGAAAGAGGTAGAGCCGTGCATCTCCTGCCTCATGACTCATGGGGCTCACTGTGTGTGTGTGTGTGTGACCCAGCAGATCCAGTCGCTCACCCCGGCCCAAGAACATGGGACCTCTGCCTCAGTTTGACATCAAGGAGAATGACCGTAACGTATGTCCTCTCTCTGCCTTCATTATACCATCTTTCTATTGTGCCATATTAAGCCTAGTGTATACTCGCGCGGCGCGGAGCTTACGGAGGTGACGTGATGTCACTTGCGCAACGCGTTGGTCACCGCAAGGCCCTTACGTTGCCTGCCGCGCAGCATCGAAATTTTCTAACTACGTAAGGGTCGCCGCAAGGAATCTCCGCTGTGATTGGTCCGTGTGTGTGTATTGGAAGGAAGCACGGAGCGGCTGCAGCAGGGACAATGGACGAGGCACTATGGAGCAGACTGCTTCACGCTTCGAAGGAAAAGCAGTTTGGGCTCAGAGCCTGATATACAGGAGACTGTGGATTATCTAACATATATATAACATATATATAACATATATCTAACTTATATCTAACTTATATCTAACTTATATCTAACTTATATCTAACATATATATAACTTATAAACTGTGCAGTCGTTTGTTTTGCACTGTTCCTGTCTTTGTTTGAATCGTAGCTGCGTTTGTTGCTTTCCTCCTGCACTCGTAAATCGTTCATGTTTGTCTCAGATATTTACCACTATTATTGTTTTGCTGTTTGTGCTGAAAACTATTTAATAATAACTATGTTTCCAACAAGAACTGTGTCTTTATTCACAGCATCACAGTTGAAATGACTTATAAAATAATGAATCCATAAAACTATTACATAAACCTAAGTAGAAACACGTGTAATGAGCTCAAACAGCTTTGTTTGCTATTGTTGTTCTGAAGAGGACAAAGTAGCAGAGTAAATGGGACCGCTCCTGTGTGATCGCCCTCATGTGGTTTGTTGTGGGATTACAAAATTCTCCTCAAAACTCCGTAAGGGGAACGCGCCAGTATAACATCAATTGTGCTTACGTAGGTCCACCGCAACCGCTAACGTAAGCCACGCCGCACAAGTATACACTAGGCTTTAGAAAGAGGTTTCTGCATGTGCTGTGGCTGCTGAAGCGTATCATAAGAATACTTATTTTTCTTTGGGCAGTGTTTTTTTCATGACTGTAATTGGTTGTTTGTTGTTCAAATCTTGGTTACATTAAGAAACATTGTTGATAGACTGCTTCCAGCAGCGGTTTAACATGAAGGAACTTGGTTTGGATTTCTCAGTGTTTGCAAAACGTTACCCTATAAAGCTGCATTCCCACCGCTGATGCATGAACAAGCGGTGATGGAGGCATGGATTCAGCCGCATGAGTTCTGTCCATCTGATGTACTGCTCTGCGATGGGGAAAAACCATGGATCTATAATAATAACTGGATAGGGTTATAGCTTATAGCTGTCCCACCCATGGGCAAAGGGGGCGCCCGTGGTACTGCAGACTAAATTCACGTGGGCTACCCAGGAAAAAGTCCCATAGAACTCAATGTAAACTAAAACAGCTCGACCTCAGCTGACAGAGAACCTACAGCCACTAAAAATATGTACAATAGTTCTGGCATGCGCCTCCTGTACTGGCGACCCCGCTCCCATCTCTGTGCGGAGTGAGAGGACAAATGCCCTCTCACTCCAATTGTAAACCGCTTTGTGACTCTGGTCTGTGAAAGGCGGTATATAAAGATTACTTACTTATTTACTTTCACAAAGATTGGATTATGTGGGGATTTTAGTGTCTCTTGTCATCCTGAACTTTTTTTCTTCCCAGGCTCCGCTCTACCTCTACTTTGATCAGCAATTCTGATTGGTCAGAGCGCAGCCGAGCCCCTCTGTGCACGTGCATGAGAGCCACACACGCGCATTTGGCGCACCCATAGACTGTATATATTAACGGACAGAGTCACGCCTATCTCTGCCGTTCTAACTAATGGGCCAAAAAATGTGCTCTACTGGAGCAATCCAAAATGGCCGCGCGTCAGCCGGCGCAGCTCCATTCATTTGAACGAGAGACTTCAAAAATTCACAGCAAGTAAACAGCAAGTGGACCAAAAAAATACACCCCCCTCAGCATTGACACACATGTGGAACGGAGCTTTGGGCCGAGAGCCAACTTTTGGTCCATCCTGTAAAGATGTTTTCGAGAGGTCTGCCAATGCTATATGTTAGCATTGGCTAATTTTTCTTCTGGGTCCACCCCCATCGGCCCGGGGTGGTATTGCAAGCATGTCAGCGCACGTAATTTTGGCCACTTTTGAGCTGGGATCCGCCCCCACTGGGGGGGCATCATGGGAGCTCATCCACTGCGCAGAACTGGGAAGACCAGACGATGCCCAAATATAGGCGAGTTCTGCTAATCTCCCCGTCCCCTTGAAGTCCAATGCGCTACTGAGCACAAGCCATTCATTTGAATAGGGAGCCATCTTGGATCACAAGGGCTTGGGAAAAACCCATGGCGGAAGTAGTGGGCGGAGCTTTGATGCTAACAAGTTTAAGATAGCGGCTAAGGATATGTTCTCATCCACGAGTGCAACTCTGCAGCGTCTCTGTTAGAGGTGCAACGGTTCATCACTGATTCGTGATACGTTCGGTTCAACGTCTTCAGTTCGGTACAGACGTGATCCGCGGTTTGATTTTCGGAAAAAAAAGTTGTGCGGACGTTGTTCAGTCCACACACAGCGCGGTCACGGCGAGCAGAGGAACGGAGATGCTTGAAAGCGCCGCTTCACTTAAATCCCCTGTTTGAGAGCATTTTGGCTTCACTGTAACTACACTGATTATTAATATTCGACAAAACTGTCACGATGTGTAAGCACTGTGGCACAAGAAAGACATGAGTGAAAAAAAGCGTCTCAACGACCGCTTATTGTCACGGCATTTAAGCAGCCCCTTTACGCACAGTCAGACCGGGCTAAAGTCAACTCTCCCGCGCATCTATCCTCTATAATAGATCCATGAGCGGAATGGAGAACTTCATCACCGCAGACTGGGAGATGAGAAGTCTGGCGCTGTAGACACGCCCCCTCTACGACAGTCACACAGGCACACAGCGCAGGTTCTGACACAAGCAGTGGAGGAATGGAAGACAAAGGCCCAGTACTAATATCCCAGTCACAATTGATAATGCAAAAAAATAAATAAATGCAGTGAGGCTGGACTGGGCCCAGAATGGACAGTCTCCTCGGGAGAATCAGGAAGGTGGTTTAATATATGAGGGTAAATATCCTCATAAAGTACCTTCTTATGTTGCCCTTTGTGTTGTTTTTCATTAATTATGTTAAAAAGACATAATTGGATGGATGGAATATGCCTTCCATCAATCCATCCATTTCCTTCCCCTTATCCATTTCTAGGTCAGGGGGGGGCAGTCAGAGCAGGTGCCGAGTCCACATGAGCTGTGTTTATTAAAAAGACAAAACTTTTTTTTTTGAAAAATGAACCGAACCGTGATTTTTTTCAAACCGTTGCACCCCTAGTCTCTGTGTCTGAGATCCACCAGAGATGTCATAGCAGTATCTGCTCATGGAGCTGTGCCATATATTTAGTATATTATTAACCAGTACTTGCATATAGGCAAACTTGTTAGTATCACTCGTTTACAGTCATAGGAGAATGTCATCTCAGGGTGAGAACGTATGTACACTGCACTGAACCCCATTGTCAGCCCTGTTTTAGTCCTGGTTTAGCTCCTGTTTTGGTTGTTTTCGAGTGTCTACGTCTTCCTGTTTTGACAGGCTTGTTTCCTCGTGACCACTTTGCTGCTCTCTGATTGGTTGTGGAGCGGGGATGTTCAGTGAATCTCATCTGCTTTTGCTGCATGCATCTAGCCGCCGTATCCACCTCCTCTGTCGCACGGCAAAAACGCGTTTGCCACGCTGAACAAATGTGCTGCGACGTACATGCGAATGCTCTCACCGTCCTACGTCACCATTGACTTACCATTGAGACTTGCTGCAACGCATGATATACACTGCAAGCAACAAGTCTCAGATCAAAGCTGTGATGAAATAAACAGTCTCAGACTTTGTTTTGACGACAAGAGGTAGAACAGAAGCAGAATATAAGTCTAAAGGAAAGGTTTCCCTCCAGATCATGTTGGTCTGTTGAAGCTAAGATTACTTTTATTTGTTTTTGATTTTTGTACTACTGAAGCTTAAGCGGAATTTCAAATTGGTCGACTGCCTATGTCATTGCACCGGGCCCACGCCTTCCTCAGCCTCACATCAGCTCATCAACTCCCTGCAGCTGGGCTAATCAAGCCAGCCCTTAAAATCTGGACACAGCACACCAAACTTCTTTTGCTGACATTGCTGTCTTTTCAAACAGCAATGTCTCCTCCCTAGCATGACTCTCACCAGACCCGCCATGCTCCACCAGAGGCGTTTCGCTTCACTCACAAGGGTCTGGGATCAAGCGCATAGCAAAGTAAAAAGTGCTGAGTAGAGACTTAGCGTGACGCTCGCTCTCCTCCACTCACAGAACAGGCTGCGTCCTCTAGCCTCTACAGCGCTGCTAAACACAGTAGCATGTTAACAGAATTGGCTATAACCCCCCTTGCTGTAACTGCAGACACAGCAAAACAGCCCAAACGACACAACAGTGAGGAAGAGAAGAGGGAACTAAAGCGAAAAAGTGATCAGAGAAGAAATCAAGCCCGGGTGAACATAGCTAGCTTACATCGTATCCTCTGGAGATACCTACAGTCTATGGGAGAGACTTGCAGGACCGCCTCGGACTATCTATGCTAGGACTACATTCAGACATGGAACTAGCGGTAATCTTTCAGTTATATATTTTGTTATCAGTGCGTTGCTTTTGTACCATTTCATCAGTAATTGTTGTACAGCTTAAGTTGAAGTTGTACTCATGCTAATGTTAGCATATAGATCGCAAATAAAGCTAGATGGCTCCGTGGGATGAGAGCGTAGGGCAAATGAAACCTGTGAGCGAGTTGGGGGGCGGTGCTAAACATTCAAAACTTGCAGAAACGGGTATATCTCCTTTTAAAGAGTCAAATGTTCGTGTAAAGTGTGGTTTAAAGCTTCACTAACTGACTTTATTTTTGTATTCATTACAAAAATGCTATCCATGTCCATGCAATG